CCTCTTTGGAAAACGAACCTAGTCTTGCTCCTTACAGGACAGAACATCCCCTTCTCCGGGCCCATGTGCTCGTTTTGAGCCCTAGCTCAAGAATGTTAACTGGCCCCAGATAGTCTCAAGGGCAGCAGCGCGAGCTTTGTTCAGGGCGAATCTGAAACGGTGCTCATTGCCCGCACACTGCTTCCATTTTTGGCTTCCACATCATCTGTTCTCAAACCAGGCTCGACTTGAGAATCAACTCTAGGGGGTGTTAAAAATTCGGATTCACTGGCCTCCTGCCTAGAGATTCTGAATCAGGAGGGCTGGGACTAAGCCCAGAAATCTACTTTTTTAACCACGCTCAGCAGATGACTGTAGCAATCAGAGCTCAGCTCCGAAAGGTCAGTCCAGTTCACGGGATGGAGGAAGGACTGATTGGCAGAGAACAGAGTGGAGGGCCCCTTGGAGATCGCTGCTGCTTCCAGAGAAGAAGGAATGGCGGGTGGGGACTACTGAGGAACTCCCTACTGGGGGATGAGCTGGTTCTGCATTTCTGAATTTGAGGTCTCTCTGGATATGAGATATCCCAGAAGTACATTTTCACGAAAGTGGGATCATGCAAAAGATAGAACAGCAGGGGATGGGATTACTGAGGCCTCAGGACAATGCTATAACGTGGCTTTACCTACGAGAGATCCTGGGGGGGACCTTAAAGATAGCAGTGCTATGAGGTGTGGGCATACAAAGGGAGTGGCCAGAGGTCAGTGCAGGGCTGTCCTGAAGCGTGGTGGTGAAGGGAGTTAAATCCCACACGGCTGGCTGCATGGTATGAGTCCCAGCCCCAGTGGCTCAAAAACCATACCAGGTATGTGTGTGCATGTCTCAAATCCCAACAGGATGGGGAAAAGATGGTGGCGTGGCTATACCACTGCACCCCATTGTGGGGTGCTCTTTTTCCCTCTCCCTCTCTCTGACAAGTGCACACACTCTGGCAAAGGAAATAAAAACGGTGAGTGTAAACAGACACAACTTCTGGCTGTGGGTGGTGTAGGAGAGCGGAGAGAGGGACAGTGTGTCTTCTCTGTTATCCTTCCTTGCTGGCTGGCAGGCAAACCCTTCCAAGTCATCCCATCTCTTCCCTCTTCTTCCTGCCAGGGGAAAGACCAGTTGGTTTCAGGGCAATCCTTCTTGCTAGTGATAGAGCCAATGAATCAATTTAAGCCAGAGAAATACACAGATATTTTGCTGAGACTTTTAGAAAAGTGCTCCATACATCCTTAGGGAAAATTTCCAAGAAGAATGATTTATCTACCCCACTGGATAACTACTGATGGTCTTTCCATGACTTTAAGAGAAACCAGCCTTAAAAAGAAGCCAGATAGACTCAGTGCTAAGGATACTCAGAGACCAGGAAAATGCAGAGAACTGGGGACCTCGTTGCCATAACTGAGTGGCCCACAGCCTTGCCTAAATCGAGACCTTGAGATCTCCGGGCAATAGATCTTCTCATGTTAAGCCAGGTTGACTTGTATTGTCTGTGAGTTGCATTTGAAAGCCTTCTAACGTATAGGCACTGCCATGACTCAAATTCTGTCCCAGGGGCACTCTCTGTCTATGACGCAAAGATAGAGACGGTTGCCAATTTGGATCGTTTGGGATTTCTTTTTCTTACTAGGCTTTCCTTCCTTTCCTTTCTAGGAATTTCCAATGATGAATTACACAAGGGTGGTCCTTCTTCTCCCTAAGTGGCCCCTCACCAGGGCACAAAACCTTGTCTACAACTCAGCTTCCACTTACAAATGTACCTGGTATCTTTACTTACTGCACAAACGACATAAACACATTGGTAGCCTGGAGGGGCTGAGGGCGGATATTATACGCAGCTGGCCAGAGCTTCCACTGCTCAGGTCATGGAGTTCCACTTCGAGATTTTCTGCAGGGGAATTCTAAGAGATCACAAGATCTTCTCTCAGGAGAAACAGTCAACTGTAGATATCTATCAAGCCCAGGGGACCTGCTGCTGGAGGGTTCTGGCTGCAGGGGTGTCAGACTCTGAATCTGGGGGCGGGGTAGGGCCTGGGTGTGAAGCTGGATGAGAAAGGAGAACCTGATGGGCCCCCTTTGCAGGCCTGGAGGCAGCCAGAGCCTAATGATTAGGTAAGTCAAAGGGTGTCTTCTATTGAAACAGGTACCCCAAATTATGGACCAGCCCAAGATTTGATATGCATGGCCCTTGGAGGAAAATGCACTTGGGCTTTGGGTCCGAATGGGATTAAAAAGAAACAAAGAGGCTGCCTTCTGCACACACCCCATTAGATCCAGATGAGTGTGATCAGGGCGCCTGCACTTTTGCTATGGAGCACAGAGCTTTGCGTGTGCTGAGGAGTAATTCGAGTGCCGAAAGGCAGTCTTTCAGTCTGAACCTGGCAGTCTTTGCATCTTGCTTTCTGCCAGGCCATTATTTTCCATTGATAAGTTGAGCTGGAAGAAGGCAGGGCAATTGAGTTCAAGAGTTTGGGGGGCAGGTTCTTCCCTAACTTGCAGTTCTCACTCGTCAAAGCCTATGGACTCTCCGTCCTGGGTGTGTGCAAGTGGAGTGATGGCTGGTTGAAGCTGCACACAGGTGAGCAGCCAGCGAATGGATCAGTCAATTACTGATTATTCAGCATCTGCTCAGGGGCTAGGCAGCTGGGAATTCGCAACAAGGGAAGTGCATATCCTTCTGCTCTTTAAATAAAATGGGTTTTAGCCTCTGCTGGGATTTTTATTGGCATTGGCCTTTCTACAATTTATTTTGTAGAGTCTTTCATGTGAAGTGGCTCAAAGCTAGGCAGAGAAGTGGTGTCCACAAAGAGGCACCACAGCTTTGTCCGGGCTCCCAGCTCTCACCGACTCCTGCACAGTGGCGCGGGCTGTGAGGAACACCATCCCCAAATAAATGGCACTCAAGTCACAGCCTGGACTGGGGCGTCTCGTGGAAGAGTAATGTCATGGAAGTGATCATTTTTTTTCTGTCATGGTCTTTTCTTCTTAGTCATCAGGGCCTGTACCTAGGACCCAGGGCTTGGGATGAGAGGCTATTTGGCAGTAAGTTCCCCCACTCTTGAGGGCCAGGTGAGGCCTACCCCAGCAGAGAATGGACATTTTCCCAGCCCTCAGGGTCCCCCCAGAGAAAGCCTGGGTGCCCAGACTAGGGGTGGAGACTGCAAAGGTGTGAGATTCTGGAGCCAGCACTGCCTCCCTGGGCTGGCCACTGTGCTCCCCAACTGAGCCTCCCCCGGGATCAGCAGTGGGCCAAGCAGGTTGTAAAGAGGAGGTTGGTATCTGGGGCAGCAGGCAGGGGACAACCAAGAAACTCCTCAGGAGGGTGGGGAAGGGGACCTGGAGGGATGGATTGGCAGAGAGCTGAGGCCCAGGCTGGAGGACCAGAGAGTGGAGTCAGGCCCACAGGACCTGGGGCTGTGGTGAGAGACCTGGTCAGGGGCCAGGCTGAGGGGCACATCGGCAATCATGCCGCAGGCTGCTGCTTTTGGAATCACTGTCGTGTGCGTGAATGTATCTGGTCCGAGGTGTGGAGGGCATCCAGCCCTACCCGCAACAGGACAGAGAGGGCAACAGCAGTGGGTCCTCTGCTGAGAGAGAAAGACAGTGAGAGAGAACAGTGAGCCCAAAGACTCTGGGAGAGTCAGCCCTAGAGAAGTGCGTGGATCAAAGGTCACACCTCCTGGGAAAGGAAAGCAGCAGTTGGGAAGTTTGTCTTACTACACTTGGAAGCCTATGTCCCCTTTTATAAAAGAAGGGAAGTCGAGACAGAAGTGGGGAAGTAACTTGCCCAAGGTCAGCAGCTGTGGAGTAGCAAGGCAGGGACTTAAGGCCAGGCCTGCAGGATTCCTGTTCTTCCAGGGACTGGCAGAATGCAGGCAGTAGCACAGCCTCCAAAGAATGCTAGTAACTGGCAGGCCTAGACTGGATAGTTCTTGGAATTTTTTTACCCGGGAAATTTTGGACTTTTTTCTTTCTTTCTTTTTTTTTTTTAACCAGAAAGCCAGAAAGCCAGAAAGCCAGGGAGAGCTTTCTGGGACAGTTTTGACCCAGCAGAGGGCGGTGTAGAGGCCAAGGATGCAGGAGGTCTGCGAGCCGAGATGAGATTGGTCTCTAGGGATTTCCTGATATTGTGAGTGGAAATTCCTCTCTCTGTGTGTCCCGGGAGCAGCCTTCTGTGTGGGGACACATCTCTGACATGCAGTTGGGGCATGTTGCTCACGTTTGGGAGATAGTGACCATGTGTAGAGTCCTGATGTTTGGTACATAGAAAAAACAAAAGAAGATTAGACACAGAGCCGTCTTTAAGGGGGACTCCTACCTGGTGACAGCCCGGGTCACCTGGAGGGTGCCTTGGCTACTGCAGAAAGACAGCCTCTGATGGACAGAAGGCACCTTCTCTCAGTGACTCCTGGAGCAGGAAGCTGATCTCTGATCCCGGACAGAGGAAGGCTGGTGCTGCTCAGTTCCAGTTCACCTGGAGCACATAGCCCTCCCCTTAGACTGGCTAGGAAGCTGGGGACTGAGGCGGATCTTGTACCTTCAAAGGAACTGGATCCATCAAAGTGGTTCTGGGTAGGACCGGCTGGATAGAGCTGTGCTTGGCAAGATAAGATCCCAGCCTCATCTTCTAGCACAGCTAGTGACTCAGCTGTAATAATCTTCTGCCTCAATACTGGCCCTTTGGGGACTCAGTAGAGGGCGTAGGAGAAGGCGTGAGTCACCCCGGGTGGTTCTGGAGGTGGGGACACCTCCCAGAACTGTTGAACCATGAGCCTGGCCTGGGAGAGGAAACACAGCCGGGTGGACTAGAGACCGCAGGGAATGGACGCGTGCAGAACCGTAGGCGACCAGCAGGGGACGCACTGCTAGTTCTGGCCTCTAGCCAACAGAGGGCCTGGCAGGGCTGCGCTGAGCTCCAGTGCGCAGACTCGCGGGCGCTGCCAGGATTGGACAGCGACGACAGCCTTGGTGGGCGTGGCTCTGGCACGAACCCAACTGGCACAGCGCAGGGGCAGAGGGGGCGGTTGGCAGCCCTGGGGACCAGCGCAGGTGAGGGCAGGTGGCTGGGCCCAAGGGGCAGGACGGCGAGGAGGGCGTGCGAGGGCGGTTTGGGTCCCGCAGGGAGGGCCACAAAGAGGAAACGCCCTTGGGGTATAGGGTGTGCCCTCACGCCTGGGTGCAGCCCAGACCCCAAGGCCTCCCGGCCGGGCCTAAATGGAGGTTCCAACGGGGGAAGCGAGGTTCCCCGGGGCAGCGAGGCCAGAGCCTGCTAAAGCCAGGAGAGGGCTGGCCCTGCCGTGGGATGCCGCTGCCCCGTGACATGTGCCGGGTGTCTGTGTGCGACAGGGTCGAGACAGGCGACGTGGCAGAGGAAGGCCTCGAGCATGGGGAGCATGGAGCGTGGCTCGGAGGTGGCTGGGAGAAGCCAGTCAGGCACCGGGGCGAGGTCCCTGCTGGGCTGGCTGCTTGAAAACCCAAAGCCCCCTTCTGACTCAGGGCTAGTGCGAGGGACCCGGAGAGAAACTGGACGTTAATCCCCCAGGTCGGCAGCTAGCTGTGAACAGTGCCCATGTGCTAGATGTTGTTCTAGAAACGGGGCATGTCGAGGTCCCCTACCTTCACGGAGTTAGCCACCCATGGCTGAGTCCTTGACGCGACGAAAACTGCAGGGGCGGGGTAGGTCTCATATTTTAAAGTTGTGGAGTCGTATTTAGTTTTTCTTTTTTTAAGGATTATATCATTTTCTTTATGTTATTTTTTCATTTACTTATTTATTCATTCATTCATCTATTCAATTACTCATTCATTTGAGGTTTTTGGTATAGGGCGTGTGTGTTCACCAGAAAGGCAGACAGAGACAGACAGACAGAAAGCAAGGAATCACCTCCCAGGGGGGATGGCCACACTGCAATCCCTTCTCCTCCATTCTCCTCTTAGGATCTTGGTCACTCACGGCACACTCACCAGGCATGAGCTTAAGCCACGGGTCTGGGACTCGAACTGCGGTCGACCCCATGGGAGTCCATTGACATAGCCATTATGCCAACTGCTGGTCCCTGTGTTATTTTTTAATTTGACCAGAGACAGAGAGAGCAAGGGAAAGTGAGAAAGCAAGCTGCCAGGTCCGGGACTTGAACTGCAGTTGGTATGTAGGAGTCCAGCACCTTAACCACCATGCCATCTGCTGGCCCTCATTACTTATGTTTTGATATGTTAGGTTTGAAGGACCTAGAGGGTCTTTCTCAATAGACAACGTAGAAACTGCACAGTTGTTATGAACTCTACGTTGATCTTTTTCTACTCACATCCTCAAGCCTACCATTAACATTTAGCTACACTTAGTTTTTCACATCTTTATCCATTTTATGAAAGACCTGGTAGATAGATTTTTGTTGTTGTTGTGGCAAAATATATGTAATATAAGTTACCTAGTATATTTTTAAGTTGATAGGCAATAGGCTGTTAAATTTGCATATGAATTCCTGGGGAATGTCAACCCCAAGTTCCAGTGTTAACCTTTGGAATAATTGCTATATAGATGGTATTTAAACTGAGGGGTAAGATGAACCACCCAGGTTGATGAACCACCCAGGTTGGGCATATATACAGAGAAGAGGAGTGAAACTCAATCTGGACGGGTGTTAACTGTGTTGAATGCTGCTGCCACAGATGGTTTTGGCAATTAAGACAATTTTAACCATTTTAGGAAGAAAAACTTTTGTGGTGTAGAGGACCTTCAAGGTTGAGTCAAGTTATTTTTTTTGTGTGCGTGTGTGTGTGTCCTAAGAAGAAACTAGAATATATGCCAGCATGAATTCATAGAAAGGGAGAAAATGAGGTAAATGAAAAAGGGGAACATTATGGGGCAGAGGTAGTGGGTGGGAAGGACCTCATAAATACTCGAGAGTGGAGGAGAGTCCAGAATGGGTGCGCAGTTGTTTTGAAATGGGTAGGGACGTTTACTCTGTTTTAACTAGGGAAGAAACAGAACCAGCTGGTGCAGATGTGGGTGGATGGTAGAGAAAGTCGACAGTCACTTGCTGAGAGGGAGGGCGTGGTAGGGGAGAGGAGGTGAGGTGTTGGAACTTGTAGGACATGTTATTGGCCCTCTGGAGAGTGGAAAAATGAACTAAATAGAGGAATGGAGTTGGACCGTCGTCAGGCATTGTGGATGCCCATTTGAGATGTCTAGTCATGAATGTAAAGGGACAGTTTAGTTGTATGGTTTTCTGAGGGAATGTTCAACCTGGAAAGAGTTTTATGAGGATTAAATGAGTTGATGGATGAATAGCATTTAATACAGTGCCAAGCATAAGATGAATGTTAACTCTTTTTATTTGGGTGCTCATTTTTTAAATGTTTATGAATCTTATTCACATTTAATCGTTGTATATCTCTATAACACAGAATATTGTTTTTCAAAGAACGCATGCAGTTCATCACAGTCATATCGAGGACATTACCATATGCATCATCTTTAATGGGGAACTACATTCTTATGTCTGTTAAGTGCTTCTTGCCTCAGCCCTTCCCACTCACCCTGTACTATCCACCTCCTTCCCATACAGTCTCTGGTATGTACACTTGTCTTTTCCACTGTTACATCTTTGGAGCTTTCACTTTCTGCCCTCAAGTGCAGTTATTTGGTATGTTTTGAGCAGGGATATACCGTGTGTGGCTTAATGAATTCCCTCAACAGGAATCTTCTGTATTCAGCCACTGTAAGTCAAATGACAGGGTCTTACTGTTCCTTATGGCTGAATACTAGTCCGTGGTGTTACTTGCACACTCATGTTTATTGCAGCATAGTTCACAATTGTTAAGACATGGCTGATATCATTTTTATTTTCTGTTTGCATAAATTTGACTGAGGAAGGATGATATTCCTCTCCTTTGGCATGTCCTCCAAACAAACCAGAGTTAACTGCAGTTTGCAGCTACTGGGAAGTCTGGCTCCTGGTGTGCGTCTTTTTGTGTTGCTTCATAGTTGAAGGCGAAGTCATTGTCCTAGACTAGGTGGACTGAGGGTTTGTCACAGTGACAATTCTTAAGTTTTTGTAAAAACCTTTTTTTTTTTTGGAGAGGTTTTTGCCATAGGGCGCGTGTGCTCACCAGACAGACGGAGACAGATAGACAGAAAGTGAGAAATCATCCCCCGGGGGGATGGCCACGCCACAATCCCTTCTCCTCCATTCTCCTCTCAGGATCCTGGGCACGCACGCACATGCGCCTGGCGTCAGTTTTAAGCCACGGGGTCCGGGACTCAAACTGCGGTCAATTACATGGGAGTCCAGCGACATAGCCATTATGCTAATTGCTGGTCCCAAAACCTTTTAATTTTTATTGCATTTCATATTAGATCTAATGTAGTGATCATATACAGTATCTGCTGATCTAAGATCACCAGGGAAAAATTTCAGTTTAATAGTTGCCATTTCTTCCTGGCCACTTGGGTCATATTAAGATACAAATAATAATACTGGCTGATATCGAGCTCTTTCCTAAGCATATGTGTAATCTTGTTTAATCCTAACTCTATGAGGCATGTATCTGTAGAGACCTTTTTTGGCATGCACATGCACCCAGCATGTTTTTCAAGCTGTTGAGGCTGGAATTTGAACCATAGTCAGCATGTGGAACCTGTTTTCCCTAACCACTAGGCTCAGTACAGGGCCAGCCCAGTAACTTTTTAAACTTTTGTTGTTAATTTGCTCTGCCATCACTTGTCTACACTGCAGTGGAGTATTGGGCTCTGAAACCAGATTTCTTGGTCGTACCAGACTATGTGACTGGGCAAATCATCTAACTTCTGTGTTCCTTCGTGTCTTTCTTTATAAAATGAAAATAATGATAGTCTTGCCTGTTAGGGTTGTTGTGAGGATTACCTGATTTAATGTATTTAATATGCCTTGAATAGTGCCTGGTTGTTTAAATATTGCTGTTGTCATCTTCTAATAGTGCCACTGTGGTGCTGTGTGTGTACTGATTGGTTCTATCAAAGTCATCCCCTAAGGGTGCACTACTACCTCTAGGTAGAGTTTTAAGATTACAGGGCACTGTATTACTCCTCCTACCTCAGGGATCACTTTTGTTTCCTCTTACTCTATTATGACTCTGAGGGCAGTAAACAAATAACAGTTTGTTTCTAGGTACAGAAAACAATTGCCATTACATTCGGACTCACCTGACCAGTGGTTCATTTCATTATCCTGTTGTTGCTGACCATTTAACAAAGGGAAATGTGGCTTGGGAAATAATGGGATTCCATGTCGCTGTTTCCATCCTGGCAGCCCATTAGAAGGGTTGGTTCAAAAGACCAAGGGGACTGCACAGCCAGTGCTGGGCACAGCGTACGATGAACGATGAGTTGGTGGGCTGCACGTCAAAGTGCTGAGAAAGGACCTGTAAAATCTTTGAAATCTCTGTGATGTGCGGTGTCAGCTATGTGGGGCAGGGTTGGCACGAGGACATGGAAAGTTTTAAATGATTTTTGCTGATACATAACAGGAAGAGTAAGCGTGTGATACAAAGTAATGGTTCCCAGTGGATTTGCGTCAGAATCCTCAGGGGGTAGTTTTTGAAGGTTTTCAGAATGCTGGGTTCAATTCCCACAGATTCTAAATCAAGACATCATGGTGTGGTTTGGGAATAAATCTACCTTTTAAGAGCTCCTGTGATTCTGATAGGTAGTTTGTATGAGATATCATTAGTGCAAATCAGTGCTTTTTAGCCCTGACTACTTTGGAATCAACTCTCTGTCAGCTTTCTAAAGAATACCGATGCTCTGGAGCTACCCTAGGGGTTCTCGTTTAATTGGCTTGAGCAAGATCTGGACATTAGTATTTTTTAAACAGCTCCTCAGGTGATTTGAACATGTTGCTAAATTTGAGAGTCCCTGGTATAATCATCTATATTTTCCTCCATAGGTTAGTTAATCCTGAATTTAAAATAGGCATAGTTTTAGGCAGCATCTTATCCCTAGGAAACTTTAAAAAACAATGTGCATTTCTCAACTTCCCCACTGCAAATAGTAAATTTATCAATCAGGTAATAGTGATAGATGTGAACTGATGATTGAATTAGCATTTCTCACACTGAGCATGGAAGATTTAATCAAGCTTAACCTTGGGAAGAGAATGAATATATACTGAGAGCTTTCTATACAATCTCAGTTTCACAGAAACTCTGGGAGGTGTGTATTATTCCCATTCTGTAGATGACAATTCTGAGGCTAAGGGAAGGTCAAGTAACTTTCCAAGCATTTATACCAGGTGTGTTAAGTTGCAAAGCCTTGGTCCCATTTCCTTAGTGGATGTCTACTTTGACTATATACTGGGATCACCTGGGGAATTTAAAAAATGACCTGTGTGGGTAGCATTCTAAGATATGCTGATTTTGTTGGTCTGGTGTGATCTGAAATTGGGATTTAGCAAAGCTTTCCAGCTAATTCTAAAGCAAAATTCAAACTGGGAATCATCACTTCTTCTTTGAGTTGGGAATTATTTGGAACTGTATTATTTAATTTCTAAATATTTGAGAATTTTTTGTATCCTTCTGAAAATGTCTGTTTTAACTCCATTTTAAAGTATATCCTGTATTCTAGCTGAATTTTTTCTTTATGATTTGTTTTTAGGCCTAGAATATGATCTATCTTTATAATGTTCTGTGTCCTCTTG